CATTTTCCCATATAAATCCAATATTAAAACCAATAAAGGCCCCATATAAAACCAATATTGATAAACAATATTAAAATCCCATTCAAAACCAATATAAGCTCAATATTGAGAACCAATATAAGATTAATATAAATAAACAATATTTACCCTATATAAAAAACCAATATAAGCTCAATATAAATAAACAATATTTACCCCAAATTCATAATTATTATTTAACCCACATTTAAAAATATTATTTAATTTATATAGAAAAACAGTATTTAACTCATTGATAATAAAAGTTTATTTATTCTAAATGAATACATACATTTTTAAATAGTTTATGTATTGAATCTTGATATCTTTATTAACAATTTACACATTATTTTATGATAACAAGATACAAAACAATCAAAATATTTTCAGTCATTATAATAATTTAGAGGATTTTAATGATAAATTATAATCATAATTTTTGTTAATCCTATCGCCGTAATTGTACAAAGACCAAGCCATTCAAACAATTTGCAGACTTAATTATTATTTCGATGTTTTTTTTATTTTCACACATGTTTTAACATTTTCTTGAATTCGATCATGATTACACCTGAAATAAGATAAAATTTATTAATATTTTATAGCAATATTTTCGAAATATATTGATTTTATAAACTCATAAATTCAATTACTTAGCTTTTAGCAGAAAAAACATTTCAGGCATTATTTTGCAGTAAATATAATTGTAGTTTATCTAAAACTCATATTTTCTAGAACTCTATCACAGTCAAATCTGAAATAATTAAAAATACAGTAAATAGAAAATTTTAACATTAATTTAAAACAGCTCAATTATAGTTTCAAATTAAAACAAAAAAACTATTGTTGGAAATACGAATACCAAATATTCAAAAGCGATAATAAGTTATTGAAAAGTCTTCATTTAATAAGTTTGTTAATATTTTTATTACCTTTTACCAAATCCATTCTTGCTATGTGATAGTTTTTATATTACAGCTGATTTTATATCCATTTCAATTTAGTCAATCTAGAATATATAAAATACATCATTGTTTACTAAATATGTATGTTGATTTATATAAGTAATAAATATACTTACGTGCTTTAAATATAAAACTCAAAATTACGTTATTTAACCGCTTAATTTTAATTATAAACTGTTCACAAAATAAGTTTTTAGCAAATTATTATATATTTGATATCATAGATCATTTTATTATTCACTAAATATTCACTCAAAATTCACGAACTAAGACTTACTATATTTTATGAATATTTTTTAATATTATAACAAATTCTAAATTCAACAAAAATTGCTAAACGCACTGCGTAACAAATTTCAGTCTACTGAAAATTACGAAACTCTGCTTGGCTTGCGCTTTGTTTGATGGTGTAGGTGTAGCATTGTTAATCAAAGGGCGGTTTTTATGTTTTTGTATTTTATGTTACGAAGTATACGCTCATTAATTTGTCGTTATTAGTTTATTCAGTGTAGTAGTCATTAAAAAAAACTTTATATATAACAAAGTTTATATATAACTCTTTTTTCATTCATTTCAATATGAGATAGTTAGTAAATTACATAATCTGTGAAACGTTAGTTAGAAAATGTTCAAAACGAAATTAATAAAAACGCCATTAATTATTATTATATCAAATATGTTTATATTTATAAAATTTTAAATATTTAGATTTATTATTGATTTTTTTTCTGAATTATATAAAATAAATTTTATCTTCACAAAACAAAATTAATATTTCACTTATTTTATTCTACGTTTTGGGCTTATGGATTCTTTCCTTCTTCAAGAACTAACCAACAAACATTTTTTATAATCACACTCTTTTCTATGTACACAATAATAAATTTAAAAAAATCTTCGTTTGAATTTAAGTTAATTTTTTAATTAAACTTTTACTCTTAAATAACATTAATATAAATAATAAACTAGTATAGTAATATAAATAATAATTGCTATCAAAAAGATAAAACAAAAGTGCAATGACATAATATTTGTTCATAAAATACGTATAAAATAATTTTGGCCACAACTGACACAGTCAGGTAGAATATTTCGTCGTAGGACAAAGGACACGCATAGAAGAAAGGACTCGCATCGTACACGAAGTGAGATAGTCTTATACAAACATCGGTTATATGAAAGAAAGAAGAGACACTCTTGAGTAGTTTCTCAAAAACAGATGTTCGTACATATATATGGTATGGTCATACATACATGTATATATGATGCAATTTCAGAAATTTTTATTCTATGAATAAATATAAAACGTCTAAATTTATAAATATAAATCGATATATTACTAGCAGATATAACAGATTTAAATAATATTAATACATACCAAACCAGGGTAAAACAAATTTAAGCAAGGCATGTGACTAATCACAAAATTTTATTATTTAACTTTTATTTTATTCGAAGTTTTGTTTTTTTATCAAACATTTTGTTTACATTTTTTTCTCGTTTACTCACATTATTTAAATTTAATATATATATATTCTGATACTTTTGCACTATTATAATCTTGTATAATTTTGTTTTTGTTTTGTTTATTGAATGATGGCCATACTTAAAATATCGTTAAATAATATAGTTAATAAATAAATACAATATAGTTAAATTATTTATTGCTTTTTTAACTTCCCGTAGGGTAGTTATAGTAATGAGACGAATATCGAAAATGAAAATTTTTGCATATCTTCACGTTTAATAATGGATTTAATTAATTTAGCTATTAATTAATTAATTCTCAAAAATATGTTTTTTAAGAGTCACCATAGATGTTTTTGGCGCTAATTTATGATTTAAAATTGATTATTTTCTTGACCAATGTAAATGTTACTTATTTCCCAATGTAAATGTTCGATAATAAAGAAAAAATAAATGTGAATATAATATTTACAATTTATATTGAATTCATATAAAATTTATATCAAACTATTAATTACGATCGAGCTGATCGAGCTATGTATTACCTAAGATATTATCAATGAGTTAAATTCTGTTTTCTATATGAATTAAATAATATTTTTAAATATGGGTTAAAATAATAATTTTGAATTTGGGGTAAATATTGTTTATTTATATTAATCTTATATTGGTTTTCAATATAATTTCAGAAAAAAAATGTATCACCCCCACATTTAAAATTCATATTGAATTTATAACAAAAATATATCAAACTATTAATTGCAATCGAGCATATGACTTTTTAAAAACTTTAATCATGATTTTGGTGCTAATTAATTATTTAAAGTTGATTTTTTTCGTAACCCTTATAAAGACCACACATTTCCCAAATTCGATAATACTGAAGAAACGAATCGTGGTTGCCCAGAAAAAAAAGCAAAACCCCCACATTTAAAATTTATATTGAATTTATAAGAAAAATGTATCAAACTTGTACTTGCGATCGAGGACATGACTTTTTAAAAGCTTTAATCATTACTTTGGTGCTAATTAATTATCTAAAATTAATTTTTTTCGTGACCTTTATAAAGACCACATATTTCCCAAGTTCGATAATACTGAAGAAACGAATCGTGGTTGCCCAGAAAAAAATGCATAACCCCCACATTTAAAATTTATATTGAATTTGTAAGAAAAATGTATCAAACTAGCAATTGCGATCGAGCATATGACTTTTTAAAAGCTTTAATCATGATTTTTGTGTTGATTAATTATCTAAAGTTAATTTTTTTCGTGACCCTTATAAATACCACATATTTCCCAAGTTCGATAATACTGAAGAAACGAATCGTGGTTGCCCAGAAAAAAAATGCATAACCCCCACATTTAAAATTTATATTGAATTTGTAAGAAAAATGTATCAAACTAGCAATTGCGATCGAGCATATGACTTTTTAAAAGCTTTAATCATGATTTTTGTGTTAATTAATTATCTAAAGTTATTTTTTTTCGTAACCCTTATAAATACCACATATTTCCCAAGTTCGATAATACTGAAGAAACGAATCGTGGTTGCCCAGAAAAAAAATGCATAACCCCCACATTTAAAATTTATATTGAATTTGTAAGAAAATGTATCAAACTAGCAATTGCGATCGAGCATATGACTTTTTAAAAGCTTTAATCATGATTTTTGTGTTAATTAATTATCTAAAGTTATTTTTTTTCGTAACCCTTATAAATACCACATATTTCCCAAGTTCGATAATACTGAAGAAACGAATCGTGGTTGCCCAGTCCGCGGATACAATGTAATCCAATACCCTAGTAGAAACGAATCGTGGCGCAATATTGTACTTTTTATGGGCTCTATATTGTTTACCAATATTGCTATAATATTATTCTGTTAACATTTTCCCATATAAATCCAATATTAAAACCAATATAGGCCCCATATAAAACCAATATTGATAAACAATATTAAAATCCCATTCAAAACTAATAAAAGCCCAATATTGAAAACCAATATAAGATTAATATAAATAAACAATATTTACCCTACATAAAAAACCAATATAAGCTCAATATAAATAAACAATATTTACCCCAAATTCAAAATTATTATTTAACCCACATTTAAAAATATTATTTAGTTTATATAGAAAAACAGTATTTATCTCATTGATAATAAAAGTTTATTTATTCTAAATGAATACATACATTTTTAAATAGCTTATGTATTGAATCTTAATAATTTTATTAACAATTTACATATTATTAGATTTACATATGGTCATTTTAATTATTTATAAGATATGAATGGTAGCCTCTGCATGCATATGCAATAGCAAAGAAATATAATTCCAATGAATATAATTTGCGCTCCTCATTATGCTGGAGAAATATACACATAATTAATCAAGTATATAGATTTTCATATTGTGCTCTTTTGTAATTAAAACCATCATGATAGTAGGTTGGCATATTCAATGGCTGAAAGAAATTATATATAATTAGTTTTATACTTTGTTCATTTATTCGACAGCACTGCATACATATACAATAGCAAAGAATATAATTCCAATGAATATTATTTGCGCTCCTCATCATGCTGGAGAAATATACACATGAATTAATCAAGTATATAAATTTTCATCTTGTGCTCTTTTGTAATTAAAATCATAATGATAGTAGGTTGGCATATTCAATGACTGAAAGAAATTTGAAGTGGCATAAGAGCAATTATATACAATTAGTTTTATACTATGTTCATTTATTCGACAACATGTTTGTCAAAGATTACCTTTAATGAGACATCATCACTGCATGCATATGCAATAGCAAAGAAATATAATTCCAATGAATATTATTTGCGCTCCTCATCATGCTGGAGAAATATACACATGAATTAATCAAGTATATAAATTTTCATCTTGTGCTCTTTTGTAATTAAAATCATAATGATAGTAGGTTGGCATATTCAATGACTGAAAGAAATTTGAAGTGGCATAAGAGCAATTATATACAATTAGTTTTATACTATGTTCATTTATTCGACAACATGTTTGTCAAAGATTACCTTTAATGAGACATCATCACTGCATGCATATGCAATAGCAAAGAAATATAATTCCAATGAATATTATTTGCGCTCCTCATCATGCTGGAGAAATATACACATGAATTAATCAAGTATATAAATTTTCATCTTGTGCTCTTTTGTAATTAAAATCATAATGATAGTAGGTTGGCATATTCAATGACTGAAAGAAATTTGAAGTGGCATAAGAGCAATTATATACAATTAGTTTTATACTATGTTCATTTATTCGACAACATGTTTGTCAAAGATTACCTTTAATGAGACATCATCACTGCATGCATATGCAATAGCAAAGAAATATAATTCCAATGAATATTATTTGCGCTCCTCATCATGCTGGAGAAATATACACATGAATTAATCAAGTATATAAATTTTCATCTTGTGCTCTTTTGTAATTAAAATCATAATGATAGTAGGTTGGCATATTCAATGACTGAAAGAAATTTGAAGTGGCATAAGAGCAATTATATACAATTAGTTTTATACTATGTTCATTTATTCGACAACATGTTTGTCAAAGATTACCTTTAATGAGACATCATCACTGCATGCATATGCAATAGCAAAGAAATATAATTCCAATGAATATTATTTGCGCTCCTCATCATGCTGGAGAAATATACACATGAATTAATCAAGTATATAAATTTTCATCTTGTGCTCTTTTGTAATTAAAATCATAATGATAGTAGGTTGGCATATTCAATGACTGAAAGAAATTTGAAGTGGCATAAGAGCAATTATATACAATTAGTTTTATACTATGTTCATTTATTCGACAACATGTTTGTCAAAGATTACCTTTAATGAGACATCATCACTGCATGCATATGCAATAGCAAAGAAATATAATTCCAATGAATATTATTTGCGCTCCTCATCATGCTGGAGAAATATACACATGAATTAATCAAGTATATAAATTTTCATCTTGTGCTCTTTTGTAATTAAAATCATAATGATAGTAGGTTGGCATATTCAATGACTGAAAGAAATTTGAAGTGGCATAAGAGCAATTATATACAATTAGTTTTATACTATGTTCATTTATTCGACAACATGTTTGTCAAAGATTACCTTTAATGAGACATCATCACTGCATGCATATGCAATAGCAAAGAAATATAATTCCAATGAATATTATTTGCGCTCCTCATCATGCTGGAGAAATATACACATGAATTAATCAAGTATATAAATTTTCATCTTGTGCTCTTTTGTAATTAAAATCATAATGATAGTAGGTTGGCATATTCAATGACTGAAAGAAATTTGAAGTGGCATAAGAGCAATTATATACAATTAGTTTTATACTATGTTCATTTATTCGACAACATGTTTGTCAAAGATTACCTTTAATGAGACATCATCACTGCATGCATATGCAATAGCAAAGAAATATAATTCCAATGAATATTATTTGCGCTCCTCATCATGCTGGAGAAATATACACATGAATTAATCAAGTATATAAATTTTCATCTTGTGCTCTTTTGTAATTAAAATCATAATGATAGTAGGTTGGCATATTCAATGACTGAAAGAAATTTGAAGTGGCATAATAGCAATTATATACAATTAGTTTTATACTATGTTCATTTATTCGACAACATGTTTGTCAAAGATTACCTTTAATGAGACATCATCACTGCATGCATATGCAATAGCAAAGAAATATAATTCCAATGAATATTATTTGCGCTCCTCATCATGCTGGAGAAATATACACATGAATTAATCAAGTATATAAATTTTCATCTTGTGCTCTTTTGTAATTAAAATCATAATGATAGTAGGTTGGCATATTCAATGACTGAAAGAAATTTGAAGTGGCATAAGAGCAATTATATACAATTAGTTTTATACTATGTTCATTTATTCGACAACATGTTTGTCAAAGATTACCTTTAATGAGACATCATCACTGCATGCATATGCAATAGCAAAGAAATATAATTCCAATGAATATTATTTGCGCTCCTCATCATGCTGGAGAAATATACACATGAATTAATCAAGTATATAAATTTTCATCTTGTGCTCTTTTGTAATTAAAATCATAATGATAGTAGGTTGGCATATTCAATGACTGAAAAAAATTTGAAGTGGCATAAGAACAATTATATATAATTAGTTTTATACTATGTTCAATAATTCAGTTTGTCAAAGATTACCTGAGACCACGAGACATCATCACGGCACCAATTATCATTTCTTGCTTTAGGCAAATACAATCCTCATTTTTTCACATTAATTATTTAAATAAAAGCTTGTATTCAATTGTTTTAGCACGATTTTAGCACATTTGATACACACGCGGTCGCTTGGTCACTAAGCAATAGCATAGAAATATAATTCCAATTATCATTTCTTGCTTTAGGCAAATACAATCCTCATTTTTTCACATTAATTATTTAAATAAAAGCTTGTATTCAATTGTTTTAGCACGATTTTAGCACATTTGATACACACGCGGTCGCTTGGTCACTAAGCAATAGCATAGAAATATAATTCCAATTATCATTTCTTGCTTTAGGCAAATACAATCCTCATTTTTTCACATTAATTATTTAAATAAAAGCTTGTATTCAATTGTTTTAGCACGATTTTAGCACATTTGATACACACGCGGTCGCTTGGTCACTAAGCAATAGCATAGAAATATAATTCCAATTATCATTTCTTGCTTTAGGCAAATACAATCCTCATTTTTTCACATTAATTATTTAAATAAAAGCTTGTATTCAATTGTTTTAGCACGATTTTAGCACATTTGATACACACGCGGTCGCTTGGTCACTAAGCAATAGCATAGAAATATATTCCAATTATCATTTCTTGCTTTAGGCAAATACAATCCTCATTTTTTCACATTAATTATTTAAATAAAAGCTTGTATTCAATTGTTTTAGCACGATTTTAGCACATTTGATACACACGCGGTCGCTTGGTCACTAAGCAATAGCATAGAAATATAATTCCAATTATCATTTCTTGCTTTAGGCAAATACAATCCTCATTTTTTCACATTAATTATTTAAATAAAAGCTTGTATTCAATTGTTTTAGCACGATTTTAGCACATTTGATACACACGCGGTCGCTTGGTCACTAAGCAATAGCATAGAAATATAATTCCAATTATCATTTCTTGCTTTAGGCAAATACAATCCTCATTTTTTCACATTAATTATTTAAATAAAAGCTTGTATTCAATTGTTTTAGCACGATTTTAGCACATTTGATACACACGCGGTCGCTTGGTCACTAAGCAATAGCATAGAAATATAATTCCAATTATCATTTCTTGCTTTAGGCAAATACAATCCTCATTTTTTCACATTAATTATTTAAATAAAAGCTTGTATTCAATTGTTTTAGCACGATTTTAGCACATTTGATACACACGCGGTCGCTTGGTCACTAAGCAATAGCATAGAAATATAATTCCAATTATCATTTCTTGCTTTAGGCAAATACAATCCTCATTTTTTCACATTAATTATTTAAATAAAAGCTTGTATTCAATTGTTTTAGCACGATTTTAGCACATTTGATACACACGCGGTCGCTTGGTCACTAAGCAATAGCATAGAAATATAATTCCAATTATCATTTCTTGCTTTAGGCAAATACAATCCTCATTTTTTCACATTAATTATTTAAATAAAAGCTTGTATTCAATTGTTTTAGCACGATTTTAGCACATTTGATACACACGCGGTCGCTTGGTCACTAAGCAATAGCATAGAAATATAATTCCAATTATCATTTCTTGCTTTAGGCAAATACAATCCTCATTTTTTCACATTAATTATTTAAATAAAAGCTTGTATTCAATTGTTTTAGCACGATTTTAGCACATTTGATACACACGCGGTCGCTTGGTCACTAAGCAATAGCATAGAAATATAATTCCAATTATCATTTCTTGCTTTAGGCAAATACAATCCTCATTTTTTCACATTAATTATTTAAATAAAAGCTTGTATTCAATTGTTTTAGCACGATTTTAGCACATTTGATACACACGCGGTCGCTTGGTCACTAAGCAATAGCATAGAAATATAATTCCAATTATCATTTCTTGCTTTAGGCAAATACAATCCTCATTTTTTCACATTAATTATTTAAATAAAAGCTTGTATTCAATTGTTTTAGCACGATTTTAGCACATTTGATACACACGCGGTCGCTTGGTCACTAAGCAATAGCATAGAAATATAATTCCAATTATCATTTCTTGCTTTAGGCAAATACAATCCTCATTTTTTCACATTAATTATTTAAATAAAAGCTTGTATTCAATTGTTTTAGCACGATTTTAGCACATTTGATACACACGCGGTCGCTTGGTCACTAAGCAATAGCATAGAAATATAATTCCAATTATCATTTCTTGCTTTAGGCAAATACAATCCTCATTTTTTCACATTAATTATTTAAATAAAAGCTTGTATTCAATTGTTTTAGCACGATTTTAGCACATATGGTACACACGCGGTCGCTTGGGGTAGTTTGTACACCCCTAGACCAAATAAAATGGACTCGTCCAAAATTATCTAGTATGAGCGCTAGTATGCGTTACTTTATTACTTTCGAATGCTATGTTTCAAGAATTTGGTTCGACGTACTTACCTTCACTAAAAATACTCCTATTTATGTTATTATTAATATTATTTATATCATAGTTGTTATTGATATTATTATTTATGAATATATCATTCTATATATTCTACAAAATGCATATTTCAGAACATTTTTTACGCATTTGGTTTTGAAGAAAATGTATCTCAGTGCCCACACTAATAAATAATCGCGCCAAAATTTAATTTTCTGCAGTTGCAAGGATCGCAATTGCATTTCGTATTTCTTTCCAGTTTTGATCGTCGCAACAGTTGCACGCATTTGTTTAAGATAAGTTTACGTAGTTAAATTTTAAATCAGTGAATATGGAGGTAAGTTAACTTAAGAATGAATTTCAATTATTTAATTTAAATAATTTTATTTTAATTTATTTTATTTTATTTTAAATATTTGAAATACTTAGTTATAGTTTTTTTTTAACAAATTTCAAATTTGGTATCATTATATTTGATAGTGTTCATGGGATATAGTAATTTTTAAAAAAGAGGGCTCTTGCGGATATGTGCCTTCATCATGGGCCGTAAACGAGGAGAAGACGATGTATCTATGGCCAGAAAATGTAGCAGGTTACAAACTTAATAAGATGTTGAAGGCGTGCGAGCCCCCTTCTTTCAGAGATTACTCTGAATTGGAGGCTAAGTTCGTGCGGAGCACCACCGATTACAAAAAAGTACTTAAGTATGTAAAAAAAACACAAATCCAATCGTGTATTGAGAGCTCAGACGATAACAATCTGAGCTCTAAACCAGAGATGGAAAAACCTGCGCAGAAAGGTATGTTATTTAATATTTTTATTACACCGAATTAAACAAAATTATTTATGCTAATATATATTCAATAGAGATACAAACAAACCAAGACGCAGAAGTGGCCAGAGCTCTTTCCAAGTTGTCATTTGACATAAAAGAGATAAAACTGGCTTTGAATGAGCTGATGACTTTTGTGAGGAGGAACGAGGCATCAGCTTCACAGACTCAAACCATAAATAAAACTAACTTTATGTTACCAGTCAAGACCAACGAAGAATTAGAGGATTTGGAAGAGAAGTTGAAAAATGTGGATCTCTTCAGGGATTTGGTAAATACAAATATTTTTTATAGTTAATGTTTCTATAGTTAATATGCAATGTATTTAATAAGTCTTCATTTCCAGTCGATTCAGCTCTCTCTGACTGGCGGATCAAATCAGAAACAGTTGATTACATCAATGCTCAAGAAATGTATGAGCAAAGATCTGACAACTTTATTCTCAAGTGTGGGGAGAAAGGGTAAAAGAAACTTCTCGGCATTACAACTTTCTAACTGCATTATAGGTAAAACATATTCAGTTGGCATTATTTGCATATTTTAATATTAACACTATTATAAATGTATATTCATCTTTTCATATTGGTGTAGAAGCAGTCCGTATGAGATTCCCAAATGAAACGGATCAAGATATAGTGAGATCGATTGGATATTCTCTAGCTACATCTAGAGACTGGGAAGGGGGAAAAAAAAATAGGATGAAATCTAAGACGCCTAACTTAGATTTAGAGCAAGCTTAATTTGAACTTCATATATATATTATATTTCAGATTTTTCATAATTGTTAGTTTTAGATATTTTTATAGAAATTTTTTATTTTTTACATCTATTAGACATATAGCATTTTTTATACAATTTGATAGATTATTTATGATTAGACTATTGAATTTTTTTTTACTAAGTTTAATCGTTTTACAAATATTAGAATGAATTGCAAAATGTATAGATTTATATATATATAGATATATATATTATATTTCAGCTGTTTTTATAATTGTTAGTTTTAGATATATTTATGAAACTTTATATTTTTACATATTAGACATATAGCATTTTCTATACAATTTGATAGATTTTTATTGTTATGATTATTGATTTTATTTTTTATGAAATGTCATATTTATTCCTATATATATATATATATGAACATAACATATATAGGAAATTATATATATTTTATAGATTTTTATAGTTAAAATACAATAAAGAAATTTTTAATGGCATTTGATTTATTTAATTATTCCTTATGGAGCATTCCAATGCCAATTATAGAATTATTGACATTTATCATAATACATTTAGTAATCAAATCGCTAATACTTGCTGTAAATTTGTATGTTGATAAATTATTGACTTCAAGAAAATCCAAATCACAGTTAGTAAATAAATCATAATATGGCTGTGATTTCAGATATATGCTCCCTCGAAAAAGTAAATTTGATTCCTGTTCAATTATTTCATCCACACACATTATCTTTTTATTAGGGAGCAATATATGGCAATCCTTATTAATTGAAGGATAAATTTTATATCCATTTATCTTAACAAAAGCAATCTTGGAATTTTTTTTATGTATTTCAATATCAGTTGGATCTACATTTGATTTATCATGAAATTGTTCGAGTAGTCTGCATGATATTTGTTGCAAAGGCTTTGCTGGTCCTCGTATCAATTTTAGTAACCGTCCCAAATAACTCTCGAATGGAAAACAGCTGTACTGGTCAACACTGATTTCTTCCCTTACTGCATCATTTATCATGTGAAAAATACCATGAGTATTATATACAAGCATGCATTCTCCATATAGTTTTACCAATCGCAAACAAAATTTTTCGATCAATACCAATGCCTGGTTCCCATAATTTTTGATTAGAGTTTCTGAACATACAATTCTCATAGCAGCATGAAAGTTCAGAAAATTTGTATATAGCTTTCTGGGCAGATAAGTTTTTAGGACTATAGGCCCAGCATATAGCATGAAAAATCTAAACTCTGTCGCTTTCCATTTTTCCAGATCCTTAAATCCACGAGGTTTTCTTTGGAATTCACATGGAACACTTTTTGATATATCTTGAATATGTTGAGATATAGAAGATATAATAGGGTGACTTAAAGCGCATGACAGACTCCGATTTTTTATCCAACAATTCAATAGTCTCTTCATCACTCCCAAGCAGGCCATATGCATGTAGTCCAAAGGAATGTCGTGTATAATATCTAACCCATGAACTTTAAGTAGTGGTGAAATCCTAATGTGATGTTTTTTATTCTTGCCTTCTACAAATGATTCGTGTGTTCGAAGTTCAGCATTTAAGGAAGTGTA